TTTTTTTAAAATAATTTCTAACAAAATTTTTTTATTTATTTAAGATACATCATTGCTTTTTTTTTTTAAAAAAAATTAAAGTATTAAAATAATTTAATTGATTTTAGGCATGAGTCTACCAGCTCTCGAAGAAAGGACATCAGAACACCTGCTATGTTTTTATTCAAGCTTGGCCAGAACTAGGCTTAAATTTCTGGGGGCCACCTTCTTTAACACACTCGCTGATAACTCTAGCATTAGCCTTGACCAGATGCTTGCCTTTATAAATGCATCTGACTGATTCTAGCTTGACCTTTACTTTTCTACCCATTATTACGAGGATTCAAAACAGGCTTTGTTTGCTAATTGTAGAGGATTCTATCCTCCCTCCAACAATACTACCTAGCTACCTACGAATCAGTTACATAAAAATGTAAACGGATTAGGTTAAAATATAACAATTTAAACAAATTTTAAAAATTTAATAATGAAAGACTATCTAAAAAAGCTTCCATTGTACGGAATTTATTTTGCAAATATCTTTTCTAATCACAAACTTCAAACAAAAATAATTAACAATTTAATCTTGGAATCTGCACATGTTCCGCATGAAACGAATTTCGGAGGGAAATTCAAATTCAGAGAAATTTCAGTAAGATTTATGGCCACTAATGAATGGTTGGTTGCGGCTATTGTTCTTTATGTCAAACCATTTCAGTAGAAAGAATTTTAATGGAAACATATGCGTATAGCTTAGTATACAGCAATATCTGTGCATTTGTATATTTCTTTGAAAGATTAATAAATATTGAAATTTACCATACTTTGTTAGAATAATTTAAATTTATACGAAGTGAATTGCATTTCAAGAGATATTTTAAAAATATAAATCTATACTTAATAAAACTCTACTTTTTCTTTAATAAAACAATAAATCAAATGTTTTTTTTTCAGGAACAAATTAATATATATATACTTGAAAGAATATATATTCGTATGAAACGCATAAAATTTAACTTACCGACGCATGTAGTTGACAGTATATAGACTCACTATAAATACTTATTTTCAAAATTCCTATATACTTAGTTAATTCCTACTATACTAAGTCCAGCTATAAAACTCGTCTCCCGATGTTATGGAACCTAATCCTTGACGCTAAAATATAGTTATGCTACGTAAGCCTCCCCAAAACTTTTCGTTGTATTTCTATAACTTGCGTTAAGATGCGCCCATTACATCTTCCTCTAAGCACTGTTTTCGTAATCCCGCTTATGGAGTCTACATTTCTCATACTTTCATTTACCTTAATGTTCTCTTAATTATTTACCATATGTTCTGAATCAGTTTTCTAAATACTTAGTCTATTTATCTCTTTACTTTCGTACCATCACGAGTGTCATTGATATGTGAATGATTTTCATCCATGGTATCCGACTGCAATTCTATAGCAAGATTAAAACACCCACAAAATTTATTATCTTGCACATTAGATTGGCTGAAATGCTGAGATAACAGAAATACTTCTTCTCAATATGGAGTTAAATTTTCAACCAGATATGACTCATAAATACAGCAAAAGGAATTACTCGGTTTTGCTTGTAACCCAGGGGATCTTATGTTCAAAAACATGATTTTTAAGGGTTCTTTCGGAACTTATTCTAATGGGGCGTTGATCAACATATTAAATTGATCAGTATGTTAAGACTAGGACAAACAGTTTTTTATAAAATAACTGCGAACTTTTCTTACCCAATTATTCTTCCCTTATTGCTGGAATGAGTTTCTAAGCACTTTGACCTTCACAGTCAATAGTTGAAATCTTTCTGTCTATAGTTTTGTATAGCCTCTTTTCATCATTGTTATGAAGATTAAATCCTTAAAAATGTTTTTTTAATACAAATCAAACTACACATAGTTTTCTAGTATAAAGTACCAAATAATTAAGTACCAAATCAATTTAATTTTTGGAATATCATTTTCACATACCTATAGATAGGTAACAATCTGCATAACATCTTTTTTAAGTTTGTAAACAAATAGTAGCCCGGGTGAACAAGGTATTTTGCCCCGGTATGGTACCGGCTTCACCACTACTCTAGGAACTATACATAAGAAGATAATCGTTTGTTCTACTGTTATGTTCGAAGAGTGTTATTAGTG